TAGCCATCTCATCCATGCTTACAGTCGACGGCAGAAGGTCAACAACAGGATCCATCCGAAATCAAGTGATTTGTATGTTAAATCTGCCACACTTTTGGTTTCATAACGTCCCTTGATCTAACGGCTTGATAATGAATTAATGTACCAAGATTATAATGAAGGTAATTTATTTTAACAATGTAGAATACATTGCAAAATACTGTATTAAGTGGAAGGAAAATAATATTATTCAAATTAACATTGTTTACTTACATGAATGCTTACATTATTTTCAATTTCCATAAGTGTTTCTTAACGTAAACTAATGGTGGAAGATGATGGAATACAGGCTTTTGTTTCCTAAAAAAAGTTAATTATCTGTAAACATTAATTAATACAAAATATGAGATGCTTTTAACAGAAAATTTAATTTAATTTTCTTGACATTTTAAACTCTGAACGAGATTCAAGTCTTAATATTGATCATTAAAATTTGAATCGCAATCACAGTCTAAGAGAAACCTGTCTCAGTCATTTACAATAAATCATCTCAGTCATAATTATAAAATGCACAAAATAAAGTTTGCAACCTACCCCGTAAAAACACTAGACAATATAAATCTTGTAAAAACTGGATAGCATTAGGTAATGGCAGAGTAAGTTTCTTCTTTTTATTAACATTTATCCTTAAAATATCTGCTGCAAGCTCTTGATAACGGTTTTGGTGTCCAATCTGTCCGTCTTGAAGTTAAAATCCAATTCTGACGTAAATTATCATTTTCGGGAAAATTGCAGCAAGTCATTAAATCTTTCAGATATTTAATTTATATATAATGCAGAATACATATTATTATTTCCTATAATAATGCGTAATAGTTTATACAAACGTTGGCAACATCAAAGATTTTAGGTTGAAATTTACAATTGTTATTTTCATGTTTTTTAAACGATAAATTTAAGTCTAGAGTACATTATACACAATATACGAATTTTATAAAATGTTTTATAATTAAAGAGTATACTACGAATAAAGGTATACTTACGAATGAAAAGACAACCCTGGCATGGCAACTTTTACACCCTAAAACACTAAAACACTTCACCATGTTCTTTGAAGAATGAAAGGCTCAAGAATGAATTTTTTTGAGTTTTCTATTGTTTTTTATATGGCATCAACCGGGAAGTTTAATAAAAAATAATTACAATAATCGGTTCACATTTGATGAAGATATCGTCTACCATTCATACTGAGATGTAAGGAATATATATAAGCATATTACATATAAACATATACACAATGTAACCTAATTGTAACTATTTAAGGATTGATTATTGCAAATATATTCAGTATTTACTCAGCAGTCTTGGCTTTCATTTCTCTCTCGTACGTACAACATTACAACACAAACTAAGAGAAAAATGCATATTTGTAATCGTACTAACAAACTCCTCCTTTTTTAAAGTCGGTTAAAATACATATTTGTGCATTTTTGGGAATTGAGTTTCAATGTTGTTGAACATTAATCAATTAAGTTATTACATCATACTGTAAGTATTTTTATTATATACGAGGGCGACACTGAATATTTTTAGAACTCGTCACTTGTTAACGATATAATAAAAAAATAAGCTCAACTTTACTTTACATCTTTGAGTATTAAACCAAAGGAGACGGCATCGCAAGGCATACCCTTCTGTAAAAGGTACGAGTCTGACTCATACTCGTTATATAAAACTAGTTGCTCCGCGTCGTGCGTCATTCCGAAGTGATCGTGCCAGTAAATCGAGCTCCGACAAAATGCCGAATTGCAGTGTATTTACATGAAAAAAAAAACAATCAAAAACGTCAAGTATATAAAAGGACAATGTGACTTTTCATTTGTGAGTATTTCTAATATAATATTAAAGTAATTTTATCATTAAAACTCGCACTTTGTGAATATTGTCGTCCAATACCGAGTGTGGCCATCATAGTTCATAAAGTGAAAAATAATCTATTTTTAAATAAATATAATTTACTACACAAGTTCTATAAATATTAACGAAAATGTATTTCCCAATAACTAAATCAGTTTATGATGAATAATAATTATTACATATAGCGTTGTAGTGGATTTTGTTAAATGATTTTGATATTCAGCTCAATTTCAAAACGATACTGAATATTATATAATTAAATATAATCGATAACTAGTATTTATTAAAATATTATACAAAATACAGGCCAAATAAGTCAAATCGAAACTTGCTACCTCGCAGCAAAAGTGTGCAATTTTTATAAAAATAAACTGGTATCACTGCAACTGAAAGTATTGCACTATAGTGATGAACGCCGCAACATTAACCATCGGTAAGTTAGTTAACCATGCGGGTTTGTCTGCCGAACCGGTTTGTAGTTTTTATTTAGCTTTTACAGTAAAGTATTACAAAAAGTAGTAAATTTTTCTATTATTGGTTTATTTTTACAGATTTCTAAAGGATCCTTTTAGGTGACAAACTTGGATTGTAGCTTGCAGAAACCATGAATCTGACACTGCAGTACCAATCTTGAACTTGTGGGAGGTAATGTTTGGTTGTAATTATATTTAGATTAAATATTTTTATTATTACCTTTGACACTAATATTATTCTACTTGAAAATATTTAATTAAGTTTACAAAAGCATTAACCTATCAAATTTAATTCATATATTCATATACCTATTATTGTAATTGTAAACTTAATGTAGTATAATTTTTGTACGCCATAAATGGTAAAACATGTAGCTCGTTTTAAGTTGTTTAACACTTGTATTTTATTTACTCATGTTTTACTATATATAGTATATATAGCTTGAATCTTCTGACTAAAATAAAATTATTTATTTTAGGGTGATCATGGTGATTGCACAATATCGTCTACATCGAAAAAAGAAAGTTGGATGTTCCGGCAAAATTCCATAAGTTATCTCGAAAGTCACAATTCGAAAAAAAAATCCTTATATAGCCCAAACTAGTCCTACTCCCACTGCGATTACGAGCAAACACTTAGGCCGTGGAAAATTAAAATGAACAAATGCCTTGACATAAAAACAATAGCATAAACAGGCTCCACAAGTTTGCAAGAAATACTATGCCCTAACACTTAACTACTCACCAAAAGCATATCGCTTTGTACGTTAAACTTTTGGAACATGTTTGCCTGCACCACGTATCAATGTACATGGTGCAGGCAAACATACGTACTAAGTGGTACACTACCATCGATCGCCGACCAGGGTTCTCAAGAGCTGAAGAGGGACTCAAGAAGCGCTGATGGCATTAAAATTGAGAGCAGAGAGAAACCCTGATAAATTTTTTTATTGTACCTTGGTAGTGGATGAAATGAAAATTAAGCAATTGACAGAATACCATGCTAGTAGCCAAAGGCATTATGTATATAACCAAAATGTCTTTTGGAACTTGCATGGTACTCCGTCAATTGTTCTATTTTCATTTCATCTATCACTAATATACAATATAATTTCTTGTCAGGGTTACTCTCTAGTCTAAGTTTTAAAACAGTTAACGCTTTTTTTTTGTGTAGCCAAGTCGGCCATAAATTGTACTGTACCACTTTGTTATAGTATTTGATGAAGGCAGACCAATTTCAAAACTTTTGATATTTCGCACATATTGTTAAGCTTTCGGTGAATAGTAATATAAAGCAAAACATCTTTCTGGGGAATACTATACCTAGGTAGATGTCACGTTTTATTTTTAGCAGCTGTCTGCTTAAAGTTTACTTTGTTAAACTATTATATAGTGTAAAACGAAAAGTTCATTTAATAACTCTTGAAAATCAACAACTTTTTTTAAATAGTGGGTTTGTGATTAAAGCCTTATAATTAAAACAAAAACTTGGTTAACACCATTTAAGACGATAAACCGATAGGACTTTTCTTTTCACAAATCTGATTTTTAAAATAAGTTAACTAAACCTATTTCGATTTGTTAAATGTTTCAAATTTTATCCTGCGTAATGTAAAATAAACCTGTAGCAAAATAATAAACTTATTTTAAATCATTTCTAAGTTTTTTCCGAAGAACATTTCTAAATACTTTAAAAAAATAATTTCAAATAACACCTTGGTATTATTTATCTATGTATTACTTATAACCAAATAAAAACTTATGCGGACTATGGTGATTTGTTTATCGATAAAAAATATCGACATAGTCCACGCCTTACGTTGCTTACGCATTTAGACAAGGCCATCAGTGTATCGACACGTGTACAATTTGATGGTATGCATAAGCGCGATGAACACAAATACAAATGCTGTAGTGTGCGTTTATAGTGACGGGATTTAATTTTGCATTTGTAGTTAGGTATACAGTTGTGTGGTTTTCTTGCGCCCCCCTGATGTTGACAAAATTTTTGTTTAGGAATTAACGCGCATGGCCTCTCCAGGTAGTTGAATACTCAAAGCTTTACATGTATTTTCGAATATTGACGAATATATTATTAAGCTATTATATAAATATATATTTATCCGACGGTATTTACATATTTTTGCTAAAAACATATAAGTTATCATAATTTGGCTAATTTTTTTTATATTTACATCTACACATTATACATCAAAATCAAAGTGAAATATATTCGTATATTTTTAACTCTCGCGTGCCCAGCATTTATGAACGACTTTTATTCTAATTTAAATCAATATATCTGTAATTTAAAAGTTATATTAATCAGTTTTGTTAACCCTTTCACCGCCGCATTTTAGTTGACGTGGAGTGTCTCCAACGCCAGGAACTATTATTTAATATTTTTTATAGTATTGGAACAAACGTTCATCGATAAATGTAACAAAGTTTTTAAAATTATAAAATATCGTTAATTTTAATCAACATAACATTTTTCTTATTGAGTATTATCACTAGCTTTAATCAGTCTTAATTTTCATCAATCACATTGCACTTAATCAGCATTAATTCTCTTCATAAAACTAATCAATATTCAGGAGATAGGCATGGACGTTGATCTAATGTAGCTCCTTACCAAGCGTGACATATCAAATTTATTATGTCCATATACACTTGCGATCGAATCTCATGTGGGACTGACTCCATTTCAGATTCAATTAATGTACCAAAATGCTCATTTCGAGGATCTTCTGGTCTTTGATTAAAGAATCTTGAAGCGGGCAAACTTATATAGGCCGTGTAGTCATCTTCTTCCAATTTCACATAGCATATATAATGATTTTCAGTCCGTGTTGATCTACCAACGGAAATTTTTCTTTTCATTTTCCTTTCCGGTTGAATGTATCTCGATAACGGAGGCGATTCATCACTTTGTGACATGATGCACGTCTACAAAATTTAACAGTTCTTCTTCGTCTAGCATTATCGATAATTTCCAGCAATAGAAATGCAAATAAGTAAAGTACACGTGTCTTATCACGGTGACGACGCCACAGTAATTGAGAATTTATTGAAACGTCACTGTCCTTGACATTGAGCCGCACGAAAAATCACGGTGCTGGCGGTCAACTCGAATGCACTAGTGGCGTACCGGGATAATTCAATTTTACATTTAAGTTGTTTGGATTATAAATTAATACTTTTCCTAAACTTATTTCTTATCACAAACATCATTTGAAAATATATTAAATTAAATTTTTATGAATGTTTAGTTTATTTCGTTAAAAATTACATTATAACTATCATTTATACTTCGAAACAATACAAATATAAAGGACAACGTCCAAAATCGCCCTGTTAAATAAAAGCATCGGACATACACGATAATTAATTCTCTATTTTTCATATTAGTTGCAAATACTTTAGTAACACGGACTAGCTGCATGCCATAATGAACATTAAAAGTATTCGATTAGTTATTCTATTCGATTAGTGACATTATTCGCAGCCATCTTCGCCAAATGTCATGCGGTGTATAAAAATGACTAGGGATACCCAATCGATTGTAATCGATCTTTTGATTTTTCAATACACTGTTGCATATTTTTTAATCTGTTTCAAATTTTGACTTTATTTTGAATGAAGTTCAAATAGAAACTACAATAAAAACAGTCAATCACTATTCCTTTTTGTTATTCCCTAAAAGGATAATTTAAAAAACCTAATATACCTAATGAATGAGGTCATATTCGATTTTAAATAGGTATTTAAAATAATGCTGAAGTAAACAAGTTAATTACTAATACAATTATGCGTTGTTTATTTTATGTTTATTTCATACATATTTTTGTACCAATTACGTAGTTTCACTACACTAAAATCGCCTAGCATGTAACCTACTTAAAGGTGCACACGACGGAGCTGCGTGTCACGAGGCGCCGAGTCAGCAGGCGCCGACAATCCGACGCCCGTTGCAAGTTAGCATCGGATTTCGCCATTCTTAGGTCACACTTCGACCAAGTTAATCATTTTAGTTTTAGTTATAAAAGTATTGTAATCTTTCTTTAATAAAATTATATTTTAAGAATTGGTTTTTTTTAAGTCCTGCAGCTGCAGCTAACGTAATTGGCGCAGTCGGTAGGATATTAGAGTTAGTACACGGCGTTAAAATCTCCAAAAATCGGTAGATTTCCGTTGGCGCTGAAAGACGCTGATTTGGCTCTCAAGCCTTAATCTAGTATCCGAACCACGTGGCGGCAGCACCGGGGACGAGTATCCGAAAATCGATACGCGGAGGAAACCAGAATGATATTGTAAGTACGCAAAACTTTCTTTTTGTGTTGCTTTCCTTTTATCCTTTAAGTTTTATCCTTATTGTCCAAAATTTTTCACCCAAAGAATAGGGGGCCTAGCGAGGCTGGTTTTCGACAGTCTCGCCGAAATATAGATTTAGATAATTTAAGGAATATTGAGGAAGAATTAAATTTAAGTTCACTAAATTCTAAAATGTCTCATGATCCCGATGTAATATATAAGGCCTTGCGCCCAGTGCCAGAATTCGATGGTAATCCAAATATTCTCACTAGATTTATTAAAATATGCGATCAGGTTGTATTAGCTTACATGAGCTCTGAACCCGGTAGTGAATTATCTAATTTATGTCTACTAAACGGAATTTTGAACAAAATCACCGGACCTGCGGCTTCAATCATAAATTCTAATGGCATCCCTGATAATTGGCTAGGGATTCGCGAATCTCTTATAAATAACTTTGCAGATCAAAGAGACGAAACTGCGCTGTACAACGACCTTTCCTTAGCTTCGCAAGGCCACAAAAGTCCTCAGGAGTTTTACGATCACTGTCAGACTCTTTTTAGTACCATCATGACATATATATCGTTACACGAAACTATCCCGACCACCATTGAATCTAAGCGGACGTTGTATAAGAAGCTCACTATGCAGGCTTTCGTTCGTGGCTTACATGAGCCCTTAGGGTCTAGAATAAGGTGTATGCGCCCTTCTACAATAGAGCAGGTATTGAAATTTGTTCAGGAGGAATTAAATATTTTATATTTGCAACAGCATAATAATGATGTACACCCTAAAAATTTCCAGCCGCCTCCAAGAGCACAAATACAAATTCCAACGCCTTCTCAATCTAAGCAAAATTTCCAGCCTCCACCTATGATGTTAGCACCCGCTACTCAGAGACCGATGTGGATGCCACCTCAACCTCAACCATTTAAACAAAATCAATTTAAGTCCAATGCGGGCCCTCAACATCAGCCTCAGTACCGCATGCCAACACGTACTCAACAAATGTTCAGTGCACCACCACCGAATTATAACCCACGTAGTAACGTATTCCGTATTCAGCCTCGTTATCAACAGCCTCAGAATTTTGGCCCTAAGCCTATGAGCGGTGTTCAACATTTCACGCCTAAAGCCTTACCTCCTACAGGACGATTAACTGGCCATGATTGGAACCAGCACGGTAACCCACCACCCACAAATTACTTTAAAAGCCGTGAAATGAATTATAACGAGTGTGACGGCTATGCTAACTATTACTATGAGCCTGACTACAACAACTATTACGCGGATTACTACGAATGTCCATCTTACGCGAGTAGCTATAATGATTATATAAGCCACGAGAATTACGGTCCCGAGTTCGTTCCGACAAACGATCATCCAAGCGTCAATGATACAGAAAACGATCCTCAGCCCTCCACTAACCAACAGGAAAATTTTCACGAGGATTCCCCTTCAAACAAGCTAAGATAGAAATTAATTTGCAGACCCAGCGTCAGCTACCATTTATTCGGATATTAGACCCTCCGTTGAACCTTCTCATCGATACCGGAGCGAATCAATCATTTCTGAGTCCGGATGCTGTAGAAAGATTTTTCCCCCATTATCAACTTGACTACGATCCTTTCGAAGTTACTAATGTTCACGCTGTTAGTCGAAATGATTATTCCATCACCGTGCCCCGTTTTCCGGAAATTAACGATAGCGAACCGATAAAGATTTTCGTGTATAAATTTCACAACCATTTCGACGGATTAATTGGGCTCGATCTGTTAACTAAGTGGGAAGCAAAGATCGATTTAAAAGCATTACATTTAACTACTCGGTCTGCAGTGAACCCAATATTGTTATATAATTCACGAAACGTGAACCTGTACGAGGATATAATTCCTGCGAACACTTCAAAGTTAGTTAGAATTCCTGTTGACAGTAGTGATGGTGAAGTCTATATTCCCGAACAAATTTTATGTAACTGCGTCGTTCACGAATGCATAACCAGCGTTTCCCAAAATAGAGCTATTTTAGAGATCGAGAATACTAGCGATAATGACGTTGTTTTTTCCCTAGACCGTCCCGCTCACGCACAGCTGTTTAACGTTGAGTGCACGCGCACCCAGCCTATAACCGAACGCGCTAAAGACGTTTTATCGCGACTTCGCACTGACCACCTTAACGAAGAAGAAAAGGCTAATTTGATGACTCTCTGTGCCAAATATCATGACATATTCTATATCGACGGTGAAAACTTAACATTTACGAATCAAATAAAACACCGCATCCGTACGACCGATGAAATTCCTATATACACAAAGAGCTATCGATATCCTTTTGTTCATCGACAAGAGGTACGTGATCAAATAAATGAAATGTTAACTCAAGGCATTATACGTCCCTCCGAGTCCGCGTGGTCCTCACCGATTTGGATTGTCCCAAAAAAGGCAGACGCTTCGGGGAAAAAGAAATGGCGTCTTGTGGTAGATTTCCGTAAACTTAATGAAAAAACTATTAATGACAAATATCCTATCCCGAATATCTCAGACGTTCTGGACAAACTGGGTAAATGCCAATATTTTACTACTCTAGATCTAGCCAGTGGTTTTCATCAAGTAGAAATGGACCCCGCTGACATTCCAAAGACGGCATTCAATGTCGAACACGGCCACTACGAATTCCTTCGGATGCCCATGGGCCTGAAGAACTCGCCTTCCACGATCCAAAGAGTGATGGATAACATCCTCCAAGGTCTCCAGAACCAGATCTGTTTGGTGTACCTAGACGATATCATAGTATTCAGCACTTCGCTGCAAGAACATATGGTCAACTTAGAACAAGTCTTCCAGAGACTTAGGAACTCCAATTTCAAAGTGCAAATGGACAAATCAGAGTTCCTTAAGTTAGAAACGGCTTATTTAGGCCATATTATCGGCAGCGAGGGCGTGAAGCCTAACCCAGACAAAATAGCAGCGATAGAAAAATACCCTATGCCTAAATCCCCTAAGGAAATAAAGCAGTTCTTAGGACTATTAGGATACTACCGGAAATTCATCCCTGATTTTGCAAAAATAACAAAACCCCTAACACAATGCCTAAAAAAAGGTAAAAAAGATCACTTTTGACCCCGATTATGTTAACAGTTTTGAGAAGTGTAAAACCCTCTTGACGAACGATCCATTCCTTAAATACCCGGATTTTAGTAAGGAATTTATTCTTACTACCGACGCGTCGAACTATGCCATCGGTGCTGTTTTGTCTCAAGGGCCGATAGGCTCAGATAAACCCATCTCATATGCTTCGCGGACACTCAATGATAGCGAACAAAATTACGGTACCATTGAGAAAGAGCTCCTGGCAATAGTATGGGCCACTAAATATTTTAGGCCCTACCTATTCGGCAGGACATTTAAAATACTTACCGACCACAAACCTCTACAGTGGATTATGAGTTTAAAAGAACCGAACTCTCGCCTTACTCGATGGCGCTTAAAGCTCAGCGAATACGACTTCACTGTAACTTACAAGAAAGGGAAATCAAATACGAACGCAGATGCCCTCAGTCGAATTGAGATTCATAACGAAGAGACTAATTCTCTTCTAGCGAATCCCTCGGAACAACCAGAACGCAG